TCTTCTTCCGTCACAAATATTGTCTATTTTATACAGTTATTCGATTTCACGTCTTAAAGCCATTATTTTACCATAAAACGTAACAGTTTTATGATAAAATCTTCAATATTGTGGACAAAATTCATCATGTTTTTGTCATTCCATCATAAATTTTGTGACGTTCTAATTTTGTGACCGATTCTTACAAATATTGTGCCTTTTTAATATAGTTAATCGATTTCACACCTCAAAGTCGTTGTTTCACCATAAAACATGACAGTTTCTATATAATTAGTTGATTTCATGTCTCAAAGTCATTGTTTCACCATAAAACATGACAGTTTTAGGGAAAAATTTTCAATATTGTGGATGAAATTCGTTATATTTTATAATTCCAAAATATTGTGCATGTTTTTTTTATAATTTAGTGTGTTGACATCGTTACCTTTTTTTTTTTTTTTGTTGGTTGGTTGTACTAGGTACATTGTGGGATTGACAGATTTTGTACATGCAATTAGGGGTGTTCACGGTTCGGATAAAAACCGATCCAAACTGAAAAACCAAACCAAACCGATTTTATTTGGGTTTGGTTTGGTTTGGTTTTAGATTTTTGAAAACCGGTAGTATTTGGTTTGGTTATGGTTTTATTCGAAAAAACCGAAGAAATAACCAAACCGAACCGAACCGATGAATTATATACATATATTTTATTAATAGACATACTTAATATATTATTTTTATAATAATTTTAAAGATCTTATATATGTTTCCATTAAAATTTCTTTATACTTTACTTATTGAAAGCAAGAATGCCCAAAGGCGAAAACATTTATCTTATTGATTTCATGTAATATGAGTGTTTATGACAATTCTTTGTGGGACTGAAAATGTTATTGTCTCTTCCTTCTAGGCCAATATAGTGAATTTTAAAGTTTTATGGATAGTAAATTCAGTGATCGAAAGTTCGGTAATTTAAGTCATTCTAACTATTTTTTGTTTTAAATCGATTGTTGTCACTTTTTCACATTTTGAATGAATTGTTTCTTTTATTTTTGTGTATGGTTAATAACCGAACAAAACCAAACCGAAACCGATAACCACCAAACCGGTAAATGTATATTATATTTGGTTTGGTTTGGTTTTGATAATTTTAAAAACCGACCTAGTTGGTTTGGTTTTAATTTTGACCAATAACTGATCCAAACCAACCCGTGAACACCTCTACATGCAATGATGTCTGTTTTGGTGTTTGTGGCAATTGCATTTTCTGATCATAGAGTGACACTTTGTCTATTTCCTGGACATGCTAAAGAACTTGATGAGATTATGAGGAGTTTTCCATTAATGGTTGGAGTTATTTGTAGTGGACTTTTTCTTGTTTTTCCTAATTCTAGATATGGTGTTGGATGTATGTCTGCTTAGCTATTTTTATTTTATTTTACACTAGACTACATTTCTTTTCTAGTTTTATATAGTTTCATATATATTGTAATTTAAGTTGATTGATATTTATTTGAATCTATCTATCCAGTATCGAATTACAATTATTTATAATGTATGCAGTTTTACTTTGTATTTCTGTAAGAGATTATTATCATGACTTAATTCATCATGACCTTTGTTACATAGTAGTAACTTTACTGGTTAATTCAAGACCCCCCCTTCACGAAGGAAAGCAAAAATATTTTTGATTTTTTTCAAGTGCTAAAATTTGGGAGAATTATAAGTGTTTTTGGAGGATAATTAATATAATATAGAACAGATGGTTGGTATTAATAGGTGCAAAAATAAAAGGATTTTTCTTCAAATTTAGCATCAATTTATATGACAGTAGTCCTTCCAAAAATAGTCTAGTCATTTATGATAATTTTCATTTTAAAAATTAAAATTCTTCGTTCCAACATCTCTTTTTCATATATATATATTTCAAAATTTAAATATATTGTTATTTTGCTAGCTGTTCTAAATATGTCCCATATCCCTCCTAATTATTGCACAAAAATAACAGCTATAACTAAATATTTATATTGCTTGGACTTTTTAAATATATCACATGGAGTATTTCAAATTCTTCAGTAATACCCCCTCTATTCCAAATGTAAATGTCCTTTTCAAGAGTCATGAATTTCACTAATTTTCAAAACTAAATTTAATTAGATAAGATAGCTATGTACAAGTTACAACCTCTGCCACACACATCAATAAATCTATCACTTCAACAAGATAAGGTAACTATTTAAAATTTGTACATCCAAAATCTCTACACATTTCAAAATTGTCACTATCGAGCTGTAATATTCTTTGTATCGTTCCAATTAAGTACCTACTTAGTCATATGGCTACGTTAGTCCCAAAAGTTATGTTGAATTCTGGTCATGAAATGCCTCTAATAGGCATGGGAACAGCACCAACGGCACCAACATTACCACCAATTGACCAATTAGTCCCCATTTTTATCGATGCTATCGAAGCCGGTTATCGACACTTTGACACCGCCGCGACCTATGGCTCCGAGGAAGCGCTAGGTCGAGCCGTGGCTGAAGCGATACAATGCGGACTCATAGCGAGCCGTGAAGATGTTTTTATTACATCCAAGTTATGGTGCACCGAAACACATCATGACCTTGTTCTTCCTGCTCTCAAAAGATCTCTTGCGTAAGTTTTGCTCGTACTGTCGATTTTAAATCCGAATAAAATAAAAAGTTGTGATAGATCAACATCTTATACATGTTTCTATGGGGTGGAGGTTTGGTTCAACCCCTACCATGTAGTAATATATATATAAGCAAAAAATTACTTTAATTAGAGAGACATGGATCTTGTCTATAATCTACAAAAATATTGTCATTGGCTCATAGCAATTTATATGTGGTAATATTCCCAACTTCTTTTATGTGGTTATATTTCCTTTTAAGTCCATTCTAGATAGAATGACTATTTTCTAATTTTGATAATAATATAATTTTGACTTTCTCCTTTTTTCCATAATGACATATATGTATAATCACATAAGTATTATACAATATATTTAAAATTACATATTTCAAAAGTTTTGTCGTCATATAAATATTATGATATGTATAAGATTGCGAATTTTAAAAGTTCATTTCCTTTTTAAACTTTGTATCCGATCAAATTACACTATATAAATTGAAATTTGATGCGGACGTGAGGATTCATATATTATAAGCGAACATAACTTGTTTGGAGTTGAAGCATATAATATTATTGTTGTTATTGGTACAAATTCAATACATGCATCAAATTATATATTATACTTCATATATTTTGTCAATTTCATATATTAATCATGAATGTAAAGATAGAGGTAAGATTTGCGTATATCTCATCCTCTTTCAGATTTCACATGTGGAACTATCCTCCCCGTTGTAATCATGAATGCCATAACATATTTTGTAGGAGGTTAGGAATGGATTACTTGGACTTATACCATATACATTTTCCAGCGAGGATGAAGAATGGTAATGACCAAGAAATAAAGGTGGTAAATGAGGATGTAATTCCATTTGATATAAGAGGAACATGGGAAGCCATGGAAGAATGTTACAAATTAGGTTTGGCCAAATCCATTGGTGTATGCAACTTTAGTTGCACAAAACTCTCTCAACTCCTAACTCATGCTACCATTCCTCCAGCTGTAAATCAGGTAAATATAACATACTACACCCTTAGCGATATTTAATTGGGTACAAAATTTAAGGAATTTAAAGCTATAGATATTTATGGCTATAAATCATTTCGTTAATAATAACATGAATTAGTTTAAAATTTAATTTATGATCAAGAAATGATAACCTTCTTTTTTTAATAGACTAGAAAGGAAAGTACGACATTCTAATATAGAATCTTTAAATCTTTTGAAATAAGATTTACATATTTAAAACTGCATTAAGAAAATATTAAAAAATGCAATAATTGACAGGTGGAAATGCATGTAGCATGGAGACAAGAGAAGATGTTAGCATTTTGTAAAGAGAAAGGAATACATGTAAGTGCATGGTCTCCTCTTGGAGCAAATGGGATACCTTTTTGGGGCAATCATGCTGTTATGCAAAACTCTGTTCTAAAAGACATTGCCTTTCATAGACAAAAGAGCATTCCACAGGTACCACTAAATAATTGAACTATTCACTCGGTGTTTACACTAAATTATATTAGTATATTTACGTTTAATATATCGATAACTTTTTAAATTTGCTCTCAAATTCTATTTTGACACTTGAAGTAAGACTTGTTTCAATTGAACATTTGAACTCATGATAAAGTGATTTTATTAGTCATTAGACACTTCCAGTTCAAATTTTGAAGAAAAAAGATATGTGCACGTTCTCAAAGATCTATTAGATAGTTAAGTTAACTCCATGAAATATGACATCTCCTTTTTAAGTATGCGCATTAGCCTCAATTGAGGTTTTACAGCTTATTGAGGCAAATAAATATAATCAAAGGAGGTAGCATGTTTTAAGTGTGGCGTTTGAGAACACACGCTAAAAGTTTTTCAAAATTTGAACCGAAAGCGTCTAAATGATTAGAACAAGTATTAGTTTGAGCATCTAAATGAAATTGCTGACAAAGATGGTATTGTTTGATATCTATAGGTGGCATTGAGATGGGTATATGAGCAAGGAGTTAGTGTATTGGTGAAGAGTTTTAACAAAGATAGAATGAGAGAGAATCTTCAAATTTTGGATTGGGAATTAAGCAATGAAGAAAATGCTAAGATTCAAGAGATTCCTCAATGCAGGGGATTCAAAGGTGAAGTTTTTGTTCATCCAGATGGACCATATAAATCCCCAGATGAATTCTGGGATGGTGAACTATAAATGACATTGCTAAACATTCTGTTTTGAATATTTTTTGGTTGTTCAATAAAATTAAAAATTAAATTCAATCCATTTTTCATCCTTGGGGTCGATTTAGGCTCCTTCCCTTCCACTTCGTAGCCATGCTAGCAGGTACTACACATAGATCAAGATGTAATGCAGACTAGAACTCCAGCGTCAAAATATACTGTAGTATATATCGATGCTCTGCATCACTCAACGATAATGGGTACGAGAGATCGTGTGATTTACATACAAAATTATCACCGAACGTAGAGTACCCGTACTCTATACAAAGTATAATGCCCCTCCATTTGACTCTCTTTATAATACAGATACCTTCCCCAACATCTTCACTAATCAATCACTAGTGATATATGTAACAAGCTAATCTAATCACCTACTTATATCAATATGCTAGTAACTACCCTACCTCCTACTACAACGACGTGGTATAAGCATTACCTTGGCCTCTTCATCCCGACCTACTCAAGTACATGTCTGTGGTCAGCTACTAGAAAAGGTCAGCAGAATCGTAGTTATAGGAACTTCTGAGCCTTCAGAACTCAGACGAAAACTATTTTGTATTAATCGCCACAACATAAAGCTCGCTTTTTCTCTTCAATCTTTTGCCAAAGGCACAGCATCTCTCTAGGGCTTTGGTAATGTGCAATTACATAACCATCCCGGCAACCTTCATTAAAAATCCTCTCTTCCTTTTCATACTTCACTTCCAACCCTTTTTTCTTCATTTCTGAAATCCAGATACCCATAGCAACATCTTCAAGCTTAAACATCTGTATTTTTCAAGGAACTTGTGACATTTAGAATTAAATAAGAGATAAAGGACCTGAGTAGCTGACTGATACATTTTCACATGTAAACTTCACTCACTTAAATGACAGTTGAATAAGTGAAAAAGACGAAGGTTCACTTTACCTTTAGGCGGCCTTTTCTCTGTTTCGAACTGATTGTTTTTGCTATATCGCTGGAGACGACATAACCCGGTCCATGTGCCCAAGGAGGGTAAGTTTCTTCAGGCCATTCCTATACATCAACAAAGGATAAGATTGAATACACATATGTAACACCAGATGAAGTAAGTGTTATTTCATTTTATGATCAAATTAGTGAGAATTAGAGTTGTTGCTACTACAGATGCCCTTTCCCCATTACTGACCACTGAAATAGTGTAAGGGGTGAAATCAGCAATGACATCTGAGATAAATGACGAAGATATTCACCTCTGGACTGATAAACCACTTGCTGTCCGGACTCCTATGAGGTTGGGAATCTGCGTTAATAAGGCCATATAACAATCCACGAGTCGTGTTGACCCTCTCCATAGAAGATAAGATTTCATCCACTCGAACAAATGCATCATCGTCTGTCTTCATGACAAACTTTGCAGAAACAACCTCCGTCTGTCCAATAGATAATGTCAACAAGAGGTGCACGAGATACACCATGAGTTAGGAAGAGACAGGATTTTACCCCAAAAACACAGATGGCAATGGTTTTCCAAGTGATAAGACTGTAGTAATCAACAAAAGGCATCAGCTGGATGTCTCTATATGTCCGAGCCTCATTCCAGAGCTCTTCATTCACCATTTGGTTTTTATGCTACAGCAAATGCATAACAAAGAATATCAAATGAAGTTTCAGTTATTGAAATCTAATATGTGACTTCTAATGAGCAGCAGAACATGAAACTACGACACTTAAAACCCAAGCCCCAAGATCCAGTAATTAGGATCAAATAAGCATCGGCATTGAACACTATACTACCTTTAAGCCAATGCTAGTTTCACATTATGGAGTACAAAGAAAAGAATGACTCACCAAGCCAACAAAAAACCGCACTGCAACTTGTCCAGACCGCACTGCATCATATTGCATCCACGTTCTACGGACAGCCATTCTACGCTTAAAATTATTTGTGGTAGAAAATACACCAATAAAGAGATCTAGTCTTTTTCGTGGAGGAAGAGGAGCTGCTTTTAAGGCTTCCAAGTCGCTTATATGCTCTGCATCCTCTGAAGTTGGTAAACCACTTGCGACAACAGAAATTAATTTTATGTCTCCCGATATCCTCACTTCACTTATGAGCCATGGTTCCAAAGTCTGATAAGATATATATCCAAATTAAAGAAGATTCAGTAAAACAGATAACCATTATGATGATGCAGAAAGATCCATTGTAAACTTCTGAGGAAACAAAGAGGAGAAAAGGAAAATGGGGGGAAAAAATTACTTCACGGAAAGCAAAAGATGTTATGTGTCTTCCATCAACTGTCATCTGAATTCCTTCAGATCCTACTCTCAGAGTGGCAACCGAGAGATATCCTTGCTTGAAAGGAAAATATTTTTTTGATTTAGCCCCGTCCTGAACCATGCTAGATTTATTTGTTGCAATGACATGCCGAGTGGACGTGACATTGCCCACCATCCCATTGCATTGATCCAATTCATCCACTGACGAAAAAGGTAACCAATGTTAGAAACAATGCAACGAGCACAGGGTGAACAAGTGAGGACACCATTGAAGCTGAAAAAGATAATAAAAGGAGGCTAAAAGAGAAAAGGGAAATCTCATCAAGCAGAGAGAATAGAGGAGCAAAGGAGATAATGCAATTTTAGAAATCATTTCGATTCCAGGAAATAGACCAATCAACTTTTAACAAATCGGAGAAAAGGTTTGCAGCAATGGAAAAATAAATCAATAAGTTGGTTAACAAAAAGGGAGACAATTTTATCATCAATATCAACAGGGAAGAGACGATGAAAGAAATTTTCCAAGAAAAATAAGCATTTAAAGAGAATAGACCATTTTCAGAATGTTTAGTATAATATCAGCACACAAATTAAATTCCCATATATTTGCAGGATCTAGATGTCCACAGGTGACATCGCCTTCAAGAATAACAAGTTTATTTCCATAAATGGCATGTCCAAATTGTGATTGCAGTTAATTGATCACACAGGAGGATGCAGCATCGCTTCTAAAAAGTCGGTTGAAAGAGTTGAAAGAAATGTAGGAAAATGAGCTACAAAGCTTGAACTTCTACTTTAAGGAATGAACTCTCTTATGTGAAGAGGGAAAAAAACTATTACCTTTCTTACTCTTTTCATCTGATGGTAATGGACAGCGCTCCTCTTCACCCCAGTCATGTGCAATAGTCCAGGTGTTTTGTACGATTACAGGATCCTCGGTTATTTTATCACCATGGAGCCTAACATTGTAGTGCAGAATAACAGGAGGGTCTGGTTCAGCTGGTAGTGGTTCACCAGTCAAATCTATCCGAAAATTCCCAAGAAGACCATTTGGAATGCCAATTATTGTGATGGAAGAACCCTGAGTCAGACCACAAGGAAGCCGCAACTTAAAGCCGCTAGCATCAAGTTCTGTAGCATTGGTTTTGCTAAGAAAATGAGGACATTGTTTCTGTTTCCCTGTCTTAATTGAACTATCATTTGTATCGAGTTTGTCCATCTCTACTGCACTCATGAGGTTGTTCCATGCAACAGTGGCTTCCTTAACCGCCTCTATAGCATTAGGTAAAACTAGATCATGAGTGATTAACCTTTTCAATTGATACCACGTAGACAAAGATTGTTGCTCCTGAGCTGACAGGTTCCTCTTGATAAAGAGATCAGAGACAACAATTTCAGCAGGTATTACTTGATTATTTTTTTCTGGATGGTGAGCTGCAGGTGGAGCCATAGCATTTATCCATTCAAGGGGATTTGTCATATTGAAGTAGAGAGAACTTGTAGCATAGCTTTCCTTGACAGGTTTCCTCATCACACAGTATCCCAGGACCAAAAACATCAACAGGGATGTAGTTAAAACACCACCGTACCATTTCTTCATTTCTATTCTCAATACAACTATTAAATCATTTAGCACTTAATTCAATGAATGTCAGACTAGATGAGCCCAGAGAGTCAACAGAACAGTAGCACCTGCAACAGATGCTAACAATTTAATAACTTATCTCACTATGTACATGCTAATGAGGAGAAAAGAACCACAACCAACTTGAAGCGCAACACCAAATCTTAATCATGTAAGTCCAGACTCAAGTGTTAAATCAGTTTAGGTTATTAGTATAGTGCAAAAGCCAAAAAGAAACGATGTTTGTTTCTTCAGAACACCAAATAAAGCACACACTATTACATTGTTCCCGTATTTGAGGCCAAATACTGATGGTAGGTGAGATGAAAAATTGTCTAATATGAGACTATAGATTCATGTACACTGCCTAAGGAAACGTCGAACCTAGTTGACTGCTTGGCTGATGATCAATTTGGGGGCATGTTCTTGAACATCAAAAGATGTAGTTTTCCAAGAATGAATTGAACACCTAAAGGACTTATGCTTTAATATAAGTCCCCTATCAATGGCTAATAGATTGAACAGAGAGATTGGTTCTAAATAAAGGAACAAAGTGCTCCAAAGCAAAGATGCCAACTTTCTCTTTTGATAAAGGGAAAGATAAGAACTTGAATGCAGAAGAGTATGTTCCAAGCTATATAGTGAAATAGTAAGGGCAGCAGCCAAGAAGCGGTGTCTGCAGTTTATATAACTTGGAGAAGTTTCAGTAGTATTTTAATAAAGACAAGAAAAAAAAAATGTCTGTCAAACACACTAAGGCCAGCCAAGTCAAGAGAAAAGATTTGAAGATTATATATAAACACAAATGAATCATAACCGTCCTATTTTGTTATACGAAGGTGATAATATTATCTTTTCTGCCTGATATTCTTAGATCGAAAAATAAAGGAGAAAAAGAGGCTCTCAAATTAAATAACTAAACATCTATAAACCTGCCATTTGACAATCCTAATGAATTTCTGATTCCCTTTCTGAGTGTATTTAACTTTTATTAACAGGATCATGTACCAGTGGAAAGAAATGGAAAGGAACATTGAAGGCTATCAGGAAAAGGAATAGTATCAAACCCTATCTAGAGCATAAGAAGAGCTGAAAATGCTCTAAAATAAACATCCACACTAGAAAATAACAGAAAACAGAGTGGAAATTTTTATAGATAACAACTAGGTACTAATAAAAATATGATACTAGATTATTGCCCTGTCGTCTGAGAAAATTAAATGCTTATAAACTATTTCCAAGATTTTACACCCTCAAATGCTATATTAAATTCTGCTTATTCTTCAATATATCAGTATTTTAAACTAAGATGTGCCACTGAAGCCAGCACCTGAAGTTACAGAATAAACAATTATCATAATAGACAAGAACAATTTAGATCGGCACAATGCGTGAGAACCATCAGTACTTCCACCAGTTTTCAAATGCAGATCTCAATCTCAACAAAACACAACACCAAAGAAAAAAGAAACAGTGCAAATACCTAACATAAAGACAATTAAAAATGGAAGAAGTATGAGCATCAAACTTAAGAAAAAACAAAAGGAAAAACTTACTTAATCATACTCGGAGTTTACATAAGTACATTTCCTCCATATTCACTAGAAAAGCCTACAAATTAGCTTCTCCAGACTCCGGAGACGCCACTGCGGTCTGCAAATTCACATTAATCGAGCAACTAATCCTAGAGTGCCGCAGTTTCCTTCAATATGAAGCACAATGTACAAATCTAACAGCTTAAACCTGAAAGCTAAACAGAAGAAACTTCCGATTAGTTCGGTTATCAAAAAAGAAACTTCCGATTAAAACTCAAAACTGCTATAAAAAATCAACCGACACTTTCTACTTCCAAAAAAAGCGATTTTAACAACAAAGCATACAATTACGCCGGAGAAGCTAAAAAATAGAAGAAATTTCCGAAATGCACAGATCGATGAGCTTAAAACTGAAAAAATAAGCAGTAAAACCAAACAAATTGAAGTAATTACGAACATTTTCCGATAAATCACACTTATATCCAAACTTAAAAATACTTCAACAACGATAACCGTGAAAAAACAAGCGTAATTTCGAGAGTATTCCCGAAATGTACAGATCGAACTGAAAATTAAGCAGCAAAATCCACAGTAAACAAATGAAAATTCCATTAAAAAATTTGAACAATCACAACTGCCATAATCAAAGTCCGTGAACATTTTCTACCATCAAACACGTAAAAAAAAATTTAAAATGCCGAAGATAAGAAATTACGAGCAAAACTCGAAAAAACACACTTAAATCCAAACTTCAAAGCATTAAAACTCTGAATACCGAGAAAAACGAAGCGTAGCTCGAGAGTATTCCCGAAATGTACAGATCAAACTGCTTAAAACTGAAAAGTAAGCAGCAAAATCAACAGTAACAAAGAAAAATTCCAGTCAAAAAATTTGAACAATCACACGGTTGCAAGCATTTTCTACTAGCAAAAACGAAAAAAAAACGTACCTGGAGAATGGTGAGAATGATTATGCCGGAGAAGTTTGTTGAAGAAACACTTGGATTTTGTTAGCACTAGAAATGAACAATGAAAGAGTTAAAAGAGAGAAAAAAAAACAGAATTGAGAGAGAAGCTTAAAAAAATGAAATTAGAGAGAGAAAGATGATTTATATATGGGCCCGTTGTTGCATCGCTGTCGCTTGGACTTGACTACAAGTCTTACACCAAATTAAGGAAAAATCAAAAGGAACGCGGAGTGAAAATACATTTCAACTAATTAATTAGTTTTAATTGACCATCCTCCGTTGTGCGAACCGACTCGTCTAGCTTTGATCTTCTCTTAAATTCTCAAAGTCGGATTAGAGGAGCACTCATCTAGATACAACGTTCATTTGGACTCAATAATTAATACACCAAAGATATGTCATTTTGCATACTTTCAATACTAATGCTCACCTCGATTATGAATTAAACTGTTTCATAATGTTCTAAATCTAGTTCATATACAGCTTTAGAGATAGTTCATATACTTCTACTCTTAATTAAAAATGATTTGAGTGTATAAAAATAAAAAATACTAAAAGTGCCTTAAAAATAATTTTCATGATACATAAATTTGAATTTAATGAGGTCCCAAACATTATTTAAGAGGTGAAAGAAACAAAAATAAAATAAGAAATCATTCGAGTATTAATTGCACTAAATTCCTCTTAATAAAAACTATAGACCTTAGTTATTGTTAGAAAAAAAAAATGCTTCTTCGTTTCTATTTACTAAGTATAGTAAATTAAAAATATGTTTTCTCTTTATTTGTTTATTTTGATAAATTAATAAAAATTATTTATTTATTTGTTTTTTAAAATTTAATAGGTCATAAACTAAATTAAAATTCAGTTTAATAAGTCATCAGAACTTATTTCGTTTCTTTTTATTTTTTATATGTTGGTATTCTTTTCATCAATTAATATATGTTAGACTTCGTCCAATCTACAAAGCTCAATGTTGTAAATTTGTACTAATAAATTATGACTTGACCAAATAAAATTTAACATGACTAGGTTCGAACAATTGACTCTTCATTTTGAATATTGATATTTTAAAATAAATTAAAAACTTGGTCTTTTAGCCACCAGCAACACATGTCCCCACACAAACCTTTAAAAAAAAAAGTATTCAAAGAAAATAACTTTACAAATTAAATTAATATTGCTTAATATCTAGATGTTACAAACATACATGTGTCGGTATAAAATAATTAGCATGCAATCCCATGTAAACTTTATAGATGCCATGGTCTTTTTAAAAAAAAATCGGAATTAGATCTTCGAAAATTAAGTTTGGCAAAAAAAATTGAAATTTAAAAATGTCAAAACGTAATTTATTTTTTTTACCCCAAATTATTCGAAAATTAAAAATAACTTTGAATAATTTTTTTACTTTCAAAAATAATTTATCTATTTATTTAAGTATTGATAATTTTTATGACCAAACACCTATCAGAGTAGGTTAGGATTTGATTTTTATGAATAGAAACACGAAAACTATACAGTAAAATGTGCTTACTTCTCAAATAAACGTATATATATTTATTAATCGTAATTAAATGAAAACTATATATATAAATTTTTGTCTACTTTTCTCATTGTGGTAAAAAAGATACTATTTCATAATCATGATTTCACTTTTTCTTTTAGGAGAAAATTAAAAAGAGAAATCAAATAAGAGACTTCAAAATAAAAGGAAGGAATCAAGATGGTGCATATGTACAACTATTCCAAGGTGCACAATTTGTCTAACTTTTTCAAAAGTTAAAAAAAAAATATTTCGTTAAAACTCAAAACTTTATTGAAATATAAACATTTGAATATTTGCCTGGTCTTTCTTAATTTATATGGTCTATGTGGATAAATTTGAAGATTCATTTGAAACACCGATAAAAATGTCATTTTCTTTCCTAAGAAAACATTTCATTTTAAATTCCAAAAAAAATATTGAAATCTCTCCTCATACGTTTGTCCAAAATAATTAAGATTACTAATTACACTAATTGTTGTTCAAGAGTTCAAAAATAACTTATTTAACACACAAAAAATCAATGTTTCCTAAATTTTGTCTCCACCCTTACTACTTGTAGAAAAGTATAATGCTCCACGTCTTAATATTTGCACATACAATTCCTTTTGATGCACAAAAATTAAATTATCTAACTTCTATCTCTACCCTTTCTATTTGTAGAAGATTTAAGGCTCCAAATATTGACTTAATATTATTTGCACACAATTTCTTTCAACAAACAAACTATCTCTAGACATAGCAACAAAAAAGATTGATTGATATAATCACATTCTATTTTAATTTCGTATCCTAACTTACAATAAACTGATTCTAAATAGCAAAATGAAAAGTAAAATTGATTTGCACATTCTTTTATCCGTAACATAAAAGAGATCGATAACAAAGTCAAATTACCCTCCCTTTTTAATCAGGTGAAGAAGATGAGAATTATGGTTAGACGAGTCAAGACTTAGCTCGACAAATAAAAAAGAACAATATGACTATATATATCTTTGATTTTTCTTTCAATCTCTTCTATGAAAAGAGAGGATTTCTTTTTCCTCGCACCGATTGTCATGAAGAAATAGTGAAAAAAGGAAAACAAAAAGAAAGAAATTAGATTTTCTGATGTTAGTTTTGTAGCCTCATTAAAAAAAAAAAAAAGAAGCTTAAACTGAAAGCAACAAACTACAAGCCACAATATTAATTAGTTAGCTTTAACCAACTTTTTTCTTTTCTTTTTTGGTAGGGACAAAATAGTGTCAGTCAAATTAATAAAATAACATAAGACATATTATTCTAATAACTTTTTGGTAACACAACAACAATATCAAATTAAAATAAATATAAGATTGAATATATAGGTTAAAAACGAATATATAGAAAATATTTAGAATAATGTGTTGATAAAATGCATGGAGATTAAAAAAAAAAGTTGTAAAAATGAGTTCACCTGATACAAAAAGTTCATGATTGTTTAATGAGATTCTATGCCTAATAATTTTGATTAAAACTCGAAAAATAGTGATATTTTACACAACATTTTTTAGGTATACTATCACTTAAAATTCTTTGTAAATTTTTTTTTGAAGCATAATACTCACGGAACATGTCATCAAAAAGTGTGTATTGAAACTATATATATAGAATTATAGAGTTACAACATCGATTGTGGTACAGTGTTGGACTGCTACATTATTTTCTTAAGGCTTTCATCCGGACTTCGAACAACGAGTAGAAAATAAAAAAATAAAAAAATATAGAGTTATAATACCACATCAACACGTATGGAAAAGAACTTCCCTTTTTTATTTTTGTGAACTAAAATTCCTAAATCCTAGTAGTTTAACTAGAGTTATATTAAATGATATTAGCATGTACTAGAGTAAATATTTTAATATATAACGTAAGACAAAAATTAAGTGGAAGAATTAAAAAACAGATGGTTTTTTTAATTTTAATACAAAGATAATTGTCGGTGGGGCTAATAATAAACTAGACGTGCCATCTAATGAAATTGACAGTTGCATTTATTTTAAATTTTTTATTTTTTATTTATTTGAGTTAGTTGGTGTTCTTGTTTATAAGTTTTGTTTTTAGAGACAGTATTTTTGTCGAAAAATTACATTTTTTAGTTATGTTAAAATTTTAGTTTTATGTATCGATACAATATGATAGTTCACCATATTTTTTTAGGCATGTTTACTTATATTTTGACACTTACTAATAAAAATTTTACTCTTCTCCATTACTGATCGAGTAGAAAAGCTTTTTTGCAATTGACCCTTGGGCTTGGCTTAGATAAAACATTTCAAAGTAGGTATGAAAAAGAAATGTAATATAATAAAGAAGCAACGAGAAAATAATGGGAAAAAAATAACACTAACAACAATAACTAATACGATAAGTGAACTAAGAAAAACAACAAGAAACAAAAAATCAAAAAAACAAGATAATAAAAAAAATGATACTAATAATAATATCAATAAAGAAAACTAAACAATACTCAGTCACATACTAACTTTTTGTCATAATCTTCGACCTCAGTAATTATTAAGTTCCTATCCATTGTGTTGTCAAATATCAACCACATATATAGTAGTAATATAATATGTGTTGTACTAGTGTTTTAAAGTTCCCTTGTTTTACCCGTAAGTTGTCTATTCTCTTATTTATTTAATTACTAAAAATAATAATTCAAAGTTTTATTTTGACTT